CACAGAGGGAAGATCAGAGCTGAATTCGTCAGCTTTAAACGAGCAGAAAGGAGCTTCTGCTGCTTCATTTCTGATGCTCGTCCTCATTAAGGTCAGACGTCCAGTAAAGTCCAGATGCGTCCGATGCTTCTGCTGCTCCTGTGTTTAATGCCAGAGAGCAGCTTTGCTATATTAGCTGTGATCAGTTGGTAAAAGGACAGGTTTTAAGATGGTGGAACCTATAGGCAGCAGCTCAGTACAGCTCTCCACAACTCCTGAAAATATGCCGCCTAGAACGCTACAAACTAGCCATCGATCCTGTACCTCCGCCAGTGCCTGCTGGAGCTATGGTCATTGAAGATTTTTTCTGGACTCGTAAATACAGCCACTTTTGGCTGCTGAAAAAGCTTCGGAGTGCTTCGGGCTGAAGCACGTTCTAATGACTTCAGACTCTCTTCTCCTCCTGTAGATTCGACCGATGCAGTAAAATGCTAACCAACCAATTAGCCCCTAAACTGGAGGAGTTACAGCAGATCCCTGGAAATAAATCAGACATCTCGGTCCAGAAGAGGAACAGCTAAGATACTGGCAGAACCCTCAAGCTCCCAGGACTCTGGTAGAGGAGCCCAGCTGGGAGGAAAAGGGGGGGAGAACACCCACGATGGGGGAGGAAGAGTTTTTTCTTTTGACTATTGATCCGATGTGACAAGTTATTTTTTTTACTGTGGAATCAATAAAGTCTAGCTTATCTTATCTTAAGGGAACCAGGCCCAAAGAGACCACTTTTCAAAAACCAAACAGACCTTTTCTAAGCCGGTATCATAAACTGGAGAAAAGTAAAACAAGAATGCAAAATGATTATGCCTAAAATGGATGTAAATGATATTTAAGGCAAAGAAAACCTCTAAGAATGGTCAGCATGTCTTTGCTCTTTCCTTCAGGCAGGCCAGCAGACCTACCACTGGGTGGACACCAGGCTGGCCATGGCTTTGTCTGGGGTCCGGAAGAGGCTGGCTTCTTTCTTCAAATTCACCCCGAGGTAGGAGATACTGGAAGCCAGACATGGGCAATGTGGAGTCAACAAGTCATCTCCATGTCATGTATTTGTTCTACCCAGCCACTGAAGCAGGTGAGTCCGATCTTCACCGTGAATTAACCTGTGCAGATTGGACTCACCTGGTTAATTGGCTGGGTAGATTAAATACATGACACAGAGATGACTTGTTGACTCCACATTGCCCATGTCTGAAGTGTGCTTTACAGCTGCGTTAGCTCCTTAGTTAATTTAGTGACAGAAATATATTCATCGTTTTATCAGAACAAGAGGCGGCTAAACTTTTCTATGTTCATACTTAAAGACATAGGGACCTAATTTTGCTCAACGCAGGACAAAGCATTGTCGTTGTTTTTAAATAGCTTTTTACAGATTTCATTCTGTTAACTTCATGGGGCGGAGTGAAGCTAGAAGGAGCGTTTCTATTGGTCTGGTCAAGAACAAGCGTTGCTATTGGGGAGAAGAGAATGTGTCGGTTAGATGTAATTTGTAAACAATGCTATTAGTAACACATAATCTGCAATACAGAAAT